ATAATGGTGAGGATGAGAAGAGCTAATGATGATGAGAACAGATTACCTTGTGCCCTGCTGGAGGGAATGGAAGTTAGTGCAAACCTTGTGCAGCTCATTGGGAACCATGCCTCATGAACTTGAAGAAGGGTCTTTAGCATTGGAATTCCATTTCCAGGAAGGTAGCAGAGGGAATAATCAGAGCTTTATAGGTAGATGTCTCCCAAGAGCCTCATGGCCCATCGGTGGGGCTTTGGCAGGCGACTAGATCATGGGTCTCAGAGCTGACTGCTGTCAGAGGGGGGTCTGGTCCGAAGAGCAGAGTCCCAGAGCGGTGACCTGGAAGCATTTAGCACCCTCTCCAGCTCCTCCTGTCTCACTCTGCTTCCTGGCCTCCATGAAATGAGCCCCTTTTCTTCCACTGTGCCACTATTTTAGTTACTTTTCTCTTGTTGCTGAGACAAAATACCCTACATCCCAAGTTAAAGGAGCAAAAGTTTATTTAGCTCACAGCCTATAGAGGATTCAGTCTGTAATTGGCTAACTTCAAGGCAGGATGGCACATGGCAAGGGGCAACAGTTCATGGCAGCAGAAGACAGCAAAAGCAAGCAAGCAAGGGACCTTAACAGTGTATTTCTCCTCCTTTTATCTTACCCAGACTACTCAGGATGGGTAGCACCCTTAATCCTAGTGCCCTTGAGCCTAGTGTTGCACCATGCATCGATCACACACCCTAAATTCGCCCACCTCTGAAACAGACTGCACGAGGCTGGGGGGACATCTAGACACAGCTGTAACAACCACCCCACCTGGGAGGCGGCTGCCTATGGACTGAACCATGAGCCAAAATAAACTCCTCCTCTCTTAAATCATAGGTGTCAGGTGTTTGGTCCCAGTGACAAGCAAAGTGACAAAACAAATCATGTTGAAGGACTGCCAAAAAGACATAATTTTATACTATCAAAGAAGGGAAATGCAGAAATGCCCAATAAGGAGGAATTGGGCTGATTCCGCTGCATGTGCATGACCATGTTCCATCCTTTCCTGAAACCCAGGGCAAAAGGAAGCTCCCTTGGTGTGGAGGCCAGACAGACGCTTGCCCACCCCAAGCCCCTCTCTCTAGGCTGGGACCGATGTGGCTTCTCAGAGTTTCGCTCCTGTCACCCGTAAGGCTATCACCGTGCTTTGTGTGGGTGATAATAGTGCCCTGCTGCAGCGCCCCCCACCCAGGAGACCAGGAGTGGAGATCTCTCTGCTGCTGCCCAGGGAAGGAATGCCTGGGGCCTGGGTCACAGTTACGCATTGAGCAAAATAAGTTTGAAATCAGTAAGTGCACAATGATCCTCAGCTTAGAAAATGAGTGGAATAGTTAAATGCATACTAATGAGCAGAATATGGGAAGCAGTGATCAGCAAAGCACAAGTACCAGTTAAAGTCTTTGTACACCTTTTACATTTCGTAGACTTGAAGAGTAAATACATCCTACTTTGTATGTAGAAGTTGGAGAAATATCCCTGGACCTCTACTGAGTGGGTGCAGGGTGGGGACGGAAAGTTTGTCCCTGCTGAACCCAGGCAGCGTGTGGGCTTCCTCCAGCAGCTGAGCCGTGCTGCTTAAGCCCAGTGTGGGGCAAAGGCTCACCCAAGAGCCAGCATTTAAATGTATGACCCTTGGTGCTTCTTTCTATTTTTGTAACTATTATGCAAGGTGATTTTTTTCTTAAGTAAGTGTGGCACGTACTGGGGCAAAGAAATTTAAAACTTGTGACTTTAGAAGAGAACCTGTAGTCTGTAGTACATTTTCTAGCAATTAAAGCTGTTGTGAAGTGGCACAGTGCCAGGAGATAGACTCTTAAGTGCGGGCTTTGTCCTGCTGCAGTGGAAAGCACCTCCTGTGGGACCATGAGGAGCAGATGTCCTCCGGACCCAGTGTCTGTAGATCAGGACCCCCACCTGGTCAGGTCCAAAGTGTGGACCCCAGATTCCTGGGGTGGGGACTCAGACCCTCCTCTCCCATGGGGGATGAGCTCCCGGTGCTGGCTGGGGAGGCAGCTCGAGCTAGGAGGCAGGAAGCTGTCCCAGCAGCCTGCGAGCCCAGGCAAGAAGGAAGCAACTGTACAGATTCTGCGCAGAAAAATTTCTCAGACTGAAATTTAACATAAGAGGAGCGTGTGGCTGCAGGTGGCTTAGAGGAAGAAGAAATATGTATATTAACACAACCATGGTACAATGGTACAAGAAGGGTCGGGGGCACTCCCGTGGCACTGCCACCCTCTGGCCTGGCCACCTTTGTGCCCACCGTGTGTGTTTCAAATCTGAGAATTAGCAGAGCAGGAGACTGTGGTCTCGGGACCCTACTTGCATAAGCCAGGGGCCTAAATTTCTAAATCACAGTTTCTCCATCTGCCAGATCAGGGTGTCAGCATAATCACAAGTCATAAAGATGAGGAAAATGGTGTATGACTTCATAGTTACCTTTGTGAGGCCACTCCAATGTCCTGACCTTTGCTGTAGCTGAGTAGGTGACTTCCAGATTTGGGTAATTTTTCCATAGGAGCTGTGCTTCTAGAATGCACTGAAGAAAGGAGGCCCACACCTGGCATCTCCCAGACCTGCAAGCAAGGGACATTCCAGGACAGCACAGTGACCCACAGTTCAAATGTGGGCAACTGACATCTTTTGGCCAGTCCAGATGAGTAGTACAAGTAAACTTCATTTTAGAAAACAGACTTTACATTTCTTTTATTTCCTTAAACTCTAAATGGAGTGCATCCTCAGTGATGAGAAGATTTACTCCATGGGGCCCAGCGATTTGCTTACAAATCAGAGGTTAATTGTCAGTAAAATCAAGGCAAAAGCACTTAACTCCTGATATCTTACGATGACGACATTTCAAAGTTCTTTTCTTTTGTGACAAAGGGAGCCTATTCCATTAAGGGTTTGTTGTTTTGAGATTTTTTTCCTTTCTCAATTTGTTAATTCCTGTATATTTGCACTACACAGTAAGCACATTCATTGTGGAGGGATCCGTGCATGTGTACTTTGCATCTTGGGCCTTTTACTTCCTCTCCCCTGCCTCGGTCTTGTCTCCCTCAGCTCCTTCTCAGCTTTTCACAGAGCCCAAAGTGAAACTCGCCAGCCTGTAGGCACCACTGGCAGCTAGGCTTGGGGCAGCTTCTCGAGTCAGGGAACCAGGACGGTTTTTCCTCTCTTCTGCTTTTCATCTGAGCATAAGGCTACATTTGGCTGTGTTTCCAGGCAGTGGGACCCAGTTTTGCTGTGTGGAAAGAACACCTACGCCTTCGGGGGTTGAACTTGACATCATTACTACATTTGCAAACCTTAGAACTAACAGATCATACCAAAAGTGAAAGTCCTCTGAAATCCAGATGTTACTGCATACAGCAAGCCTAACCTGCTAAGCGTTTACTGATTACTTGAATTAAGTAGACCAAATTTAGAAGTGAGTGAACCAGAAGTTCTCTAGGACTAAAAGTAGATAAAATTATATTTCTAAAGTACTTGTGTATATATTTTTCTCAGTGCAGCTTGCTATAATATGAAGAAAATGAATTCTGAATATAGCAAACTATGGGAAGATCTATGTGTGTGAAACTTGGTTAGGACACCAGGTTTTTTGTATGCCATAAATAAATTACTCATTCTGATGAAGTTGCAAGTACCGGAAATAATTAGGTAAATTGTGACGGACCAGCCGTCACCAGTGGAACAGTTTCTGAATGGAGGAAAGGAGGACTGAGAAAAATCAAGAGAAGAGAAAGAGTCGGGAGGGCTCCCAAGACCGAGCAAGCAAGTTTATTTTCACCTCTCTTTTATAACACTCAGTGAGTTAGGTCATTAACCATGACCTTTATCCAAAACACCTGCTTCATTTGTTGCTAGTTTTTTAGACACTCCTCGCCCTTATGGGCTACTTTGTTTCCTGGGGTTACAGAAGGTTCACCTTGTTGCTAGGGCAAACTCTAAAGGGAAACATTGGAGTTAGTGGAGAGACACGGTTCCCCATTACATAGTCTCCTGGCCATTTATAACAAAGGGTAAAATTAAAATGAAGCTTTTTGGCTGACACCCCTCCCCACAGTAAATGTAAGAAATAATTAAGTAAATATACACTGTGGATTGACGAGTGTGAGTCCAAAGGTAACAAAACAAATTTTCTGCTAAGTTTCATCACCACCTGTGCAGTAAATATTTTCACTGTATAATAAAAAAAGCTATAAATGTTTTTGCTACCAACCTCGATCTCATCAGTTTTACTACTTTTAAGTATTTTTTTCTTTTTCCTTTCATGATCGTATCTTCTTTAGCATGTCTAGGAAATGAAACAAATACTTATTTAGTAACCCCATTTAATTTGGGTGTGATAAGAGTTTGATAGTTTACTTAGAAAAACTGCTGCTTTGGAAATGGAATTACCCTACTTGAAAAAAATTCTCCAAATTCTGCACTCATTGTCGTAGATCCTAAGGCCTCATTTCTAAACTTCAGGTTCCATTCAGGAAATAAAGCAGCACATTGAAAAAAGGTAACCACAGAGTCATGTTTAAGCTTGCCAGGATTAATTGATCCTTTCCGCCGGCCCTAGACCTTCACATAAACAGAGGGACACTGGTCATGTTTCGGGATTTACACTTGTCTTGGAATTCCCTGAAATACTAAAGCTGGTCCTTCCTGTGAGCAGGAAGGAGTGAACTACTGAATTATTGCATTTTGCATTTTAAAAAGTTCAGATCACAATCATAAGGAACAATGGGAGGGGATAGGAATTACTGACTCTCAAAGCCAGTGGGAAAATAATAATTAATATGTCTTCATGATTCATAATATTTCTTTTAAGGAATGACAGTGACAAATCAGAAATTATATGTATGTTCTTCTATTTTATACTGGTTTGGATCCCGTGTCTTATTAAACATCTCTCTGAAAACCACTGAATATATTTCGTTGACCTCGCCACTGTCTGTAGCGAAGCTCAGTGGCAGCATATCTTTGGGTTGCAGCTGCATATGGCATGTGCCAGTGGCTACAAGGAGGTGGCATCGCTCATCCTGGCGCATGGCGGGGACCTCGATGTCGCAGACGACCAGCACTGGACGCCTCTGCACTTGGCAGCCAAGTACGGCCAGGTAAAGAGACTACGTCATTTCTCAAAATCCTCTTCTAGTCAGCAAATAATCTCATATTTAATTTTTATTGTATTCCAAATTATATGGTAATCACAGAGTAATCTGAATTTTAACGGTGTCTCTTTACTGTACAAATGTTTTAGTACTTGAATAAAAGCATTTAATGCTACAAGGGCACACAAAAATGTACATAGTTCAGTCAAAATTACTGGAAAAATAATGAAACTAGCAACATTCTTCATACAATAATGTTAATACTCTTTCTCAGTGAGGCACATATAGGCTAATTTCATAAGTCTATAATAATTCTGTTTGTTTTCTACACTGAATAGATTAAAACAAAATTACATGTTATGTTCTTTTTTTTCTATAAATTACATTTTATTTTAATGAATGAAGGATAGGGAGCAGATTTCTCTTAGTTGATTTTTGGCTGTAGCCAGTACATCTTGAGCTGCTATTTACAAGTCAGTTTCTCACTGAGCTCCATTGTATCCTGATGAAGAAACAGAACCCAGCACTTACATGATTTATATGGGAGTATGGAACAGTAGTGTTCAAAATAATTCACTAGTATCAAAATTATGGTTCCAAAATATGGGTACTATTCTATTAAAGTCTTAGTAATATGTGAAACAACAACCATTTTCTGTGTACTTGGAAATTTAAACTAAACTGATTTCCAAATAGTTTGGAGGTAAAATATCCAATGAAGTTGGAGTGAATTCAATGTCTTTGATACTAACCAGTGTGCAAAATATCTGTCACAAAGTCTGGATAATGCAATTGCTGAAATACTTAGAGGCACTTGCATGTCAAGCATTTTATATATATATATAGATAGATAGCATATAAATATATATAATATATAAATTATAATAGAATAAATAATATAAACAAATTATATATATATATAAACTATTGCTTTGGAAGGTCTTTCAAACAGATAAGAACATTTTTGCTTTGATAAAAGTTCCTGTAAGATTCATTAACTCCATAAACATGGGCAACAGGCTATGGAAATAGGTCTAGCAAGTGACTTTCTTTGTGAGTTCATGGATTGCTTCCATGCTTGGGCTTTGGCAGCTGAAACCAGGGCCTCAGGCTCCAGATCCCCATCTCAGGAGACAGTGGGCTACAGGCCAGTGGGTCAGGTCACCACACACACACACACACCAGGCTCCTTGTCCAGCTCAGCCACAAACCAGGACACACTGTGTGGGGAGCTGTGTTAGCAATAAAAACTCCAGAGATGCACATAACGGACCGCATGGTTTATGAGAACACAGCCTGTTGACCTTTTCTGATGAAATGATAATCAGCAAATTATCAAAATGTCCCCTTCTATTCAGGGATTGCTTCTAGGGAGAACTAAGTCGAGAAGTATGTGACTGCTTGTTAAGATGCACCTGAAGAGATGAGGTACAGCTCAGTAGTAGAGTACCTGGGTTCGGTCTTCAGTGCAGAAGGAAGGAAGGGAGGAAGGGAGGAAGACAGGGAGGGAGAGAAGGAGGGAGAGAGAGAAGGAGGAAGGAAGGAAGGGTGGAAGGGAGGGAGGGAGGGAAGGGGGAAGAGAGAGGAAGGGCAGAATGCTACCCCAACTTGAAGGAACTAAGGCTTCCATTTTACCCAGTTTCTCTCTTTTTTGGTCTGGACATTTGAACTGTAGATTAGATAGTAACATTTTACATAATAACAAACACTTTCATTTTAACCATTTTCATAAGATGAACACTGGGAGAATAAGACTAGATCAGAAAAGTTCTTTAAAGATACACCTTAGACCAAATATATCACTATTTTCATAAACATGTTTTAATAATGTTATGAGAATCTGGTATGTGTTTTGTATTATCTAGTTGCAAGTCAAATTAGATATTTTACACAAGTTAACATATTTTGTGTTATTTTTCATTTTTTAATCACCATTTGGTTCTTTATTATAACTTCTATTTCTTTGATAAATATTTTTATTTGTTTCGAGAGAATTTGTGGTTCCTTGTTGAGGCATTCTTATGCTGGCTGTTGGAAGTCACTCCTCTGTAGGTGTCAGTCCATCATCTTTTCTCATTTAGGCTTTGATTTTCTGATCTTGTTGTAACAGCTGGTTTTAATTCTATCTTGGACATTTTGAGATTACAGTCAGAGAGGCTTGGTCCTGTGAAAATCTATTTCAGCAAGCAGTCACCATGTCTAGGTTTAGTGTGCAGGTCCTGGCCTCCTTTTTTGGCTGTAGTTCAGATGACTGGTCTGTTTTCTGTCTGGTGCTCCTGACCCCACTGGCTGCTGAAGAAAGGGCTTTCTCTGGTCTGGGCTGCCCTCTCATCTCTGGGTGTGGTAAGCAACCTCCACAGGTCACGAGACTTCCAGGTGAGGAATAGGTCCATTTAGGAATGATTCTACTTGTCCCCAGCCCCTGCAGCCACCCATGCAGGAAGGAAGGCCTAGAGGAGAGCGAGCACCTACCCAGATGCTTAGTTAGTGGGATCATTTGTGCTGAATTCACCTGATAGAGCTCAGGGGAGAGTTTGAACCAGGGAGGGAGAATCCACACAGGCCACTTTCTGTCCTCCATCTAGGGACTGGGACACAGTAGGTCTGCCTTTGTCTTCCTTTGTGTGTGTAAACTTGTTCCCTCCCATCAGTGGTTCCTAGCATCCAGGGTCCCTGCTCCTGGACACCTTCCTCTTTCCACCATCTTAGTCAAAAATCTTTTTTCTTAACAGTTTCATTCAAGCTACAATTAACAAATGAAATTATATGTTTAAGGTGTACGACCTGGTATGTCCATATATGTATTATTTGTTAAATGATCACAATTAATATATCTATCACCTAACTTTTCTTTTTTCTGACTTGTGTGTGTGCCTATGGTGAGAACGTAAGATCTGCTTTCTTAGCAAATTTCAGGTCCACAGTACAATGGCATTAATAATAGTCACCCTGCTCCAGGGCCTTTAGTTCTCCTGAGACAGCTTGGAGAGTCAGAGGTCACAGCTCTGTTTTCCTCCCTGGCTCCGGACAGTGTGTCCCACTGCCAGGGTGAGTTCTTTGCCTGTCTTCAGACTCAGCTTGTGGAAAAGGGAGGTGACCCCGTCTGCCCCCCATCCATCTATGTCGTTTGTTCACACCACTTCAGTCTGGGCAACAGGTTTGAGGAACCACATATTTACGAGTTGCTATGGTCCCAGTGGACTGCTTGAAATTCATGAGCAGGAAACTGTACCCCCTGCAACAGCATGAGAAGGTGGGGCCCTGCAGGAGGTGTCTAGGTCAGGAGGGCTCCTCCTTCAGGAATGGGCCAATGGCGCTTTGCTTTTCTGGCCCGCAGGACCAGCTATTCCTCCTCTCCAAGGCCACATGCTCAGGCACTGTCTCGGAGCACAGCCTGAGCCCTGGGCTATGTTGGGAAGCCTTGATCTTGGGCCTCCCAACCTCCAGGAGTATGAGAAAGAAATTCCTGTCCACGAGAAATGACCACGTTGTTGCCACACAGCACAAAGTAAGACAGTATGAAAGAAAAGTTCCTCCAGAGGAGAGAAAGGGACTCCCTGTGTGGGGTAGAAAAGGGTGTGTCTCGAATAAAGCCCCAGGGCAACGGCATAAAATACCTGAGTGGTCAGCAGCATCTGGGAACCCAATGCACAATCTCATAGTTGAATCATAGATAAATATTAATTTATAGACAGTTTTACACCTTAGATCCGAAATTCTCCCAAGGCCTTCAGAGCTGGAGACGTGCACTTATGGCCACACAGGCATGCGAGCCGAGTGTGGGTGCACAGATGGCAAACTGGACGCAGAGGCGGAGTCGGGGCTCCCTCGGACTTCAGCAGCGTCATTGCCCCTTGTGCAATGAATCCAACGATTAGCATCCCCCCTTAGTATCTGCGCCAGGAACGAATGTTAGTTCTGCTTATGGCTACTTTAAAAATTTTAAAGAGAGACTTCAAGTGCCTATCAAAGAATTAAGTTTCTAAATTTAATCAGATGGAATTTAAATTTTAGCCACTTAGTGTTCCCTTTTTGCACACGTGCATGCACACACATGTGTGTACACACACATGCACACACACACATGACGGTGCACTCACACTGAGATATTGCCCTCCCGGGCGCTGACTGCCAAGCTGCTTCTAAAGTCTCAGTGTGGTGGAGCTGATTTCTCTACCTGCGGTCTCTGGTGAGGTTAGCAGATGTCCAGGGCAGGAGAACACACACAAGTCTGGCCGGCCTCCTTCCGGTCTGACTCGCTGCCTTCTAACTGGAAGCTGATAGGAAATTCTGGACAATCAGAAAGGAATTCCCCCATAGAAGAAGATCCTCTTTCCACACATGAATATTTATTTTTATGGGCCGTACATAAAATGGAATTACTTTTATTGTTGGAGATTTTCATGTAGAAAACATTTTGCTTTTATTACTTAAATGATTTCTGCATTTAAGAGTTGGAGAGAGGAGTAGGTTGTTGGCAGCTCTCCAAGTTGGATTTAGAAGTGCAACATGATTATTAGACTCTTGAGAGTTTTGAAAAGATAAAATCCTTTATGCTTACTGCCATTCTTTTTAATCTGTGAAAAACAAAGTCAGTTTCACTCAATTGTTGGCTTTCCTTGTTTTCTTCTTCATTTCTCTCTCCCTCCCTTGCTCTGTCTCTCCCCTCACTCTCTCTCATCCTCCCTCCCTCCCTTCCCTGTGACTTAAAAACACTGGCTCTCCAACATCCTTAATATAAAACAAAATTCTGTCATGAACCTATTTTAATATCCTGAAAATATGCTATATAATTTTTATCTTTCACACTTCAAAAGACCGTTTCTTTCCTTAGCATCAGTAAACTGTATATTTGAAAATCAAAATAAACTTCTAATTATAAGAACTCTGCTATAAGGACATTAATTTTACTGAAATAATTTGTATTCTGTAAAAGCAAACACTAATTTTGAATAAACCTGTGTGAGATTTGCCAGTAAGGCACACAAATGTAACCTAGTGAGTTTTAGAGTGAGAATACTGACAAAATTAATAATTGATGTTTGAAGAGCTGTGAACAGGGCACCCAGAAGGGGTAAAGAATGCCACAGAAAATACTATAAAAGGGAAAAAATTGAAGAGACCAGTCCATTGGAATCTGTGTAATAAAGCAATAAATAGAAATGAAATGTAAATTTAGGACAGGAGAAAAAAGAATAAAAATTCCAAAAGAAGTTATAACTGAAAAAGTATATCCAGAACACATAATGAGTACATACAGTACCAATGATAGAAAGATTTTAAAATCCAATAATAATTGGAAGAAAAACCTGCAATACACACTTCACAAAAGAAAATATAAAGGTGGCCATTAAACACTTGAGGAAGTGTTCAGCATCATTAGTCATGACGGAAACGTAAATTAAAGTGTACAGGAATACTTCTTCACTCTAGTAATCACAGCTAAAATTGTTCTAACATGACAATATCAAGTGTCAGAGAGGACGTGACATGAAATGGCTGGTGAGGATGTAACATATTAAAGTTCCTTTGTAAAAGTTTCTTTAAAAAGATGAAACTGACCAGATCACCCAAGATTCTATTCCTGGCATTTTCTAAAGGGAAATAGAAGCCTATGACCATCAAAATGGCAAATGTCCATATCAGCTTTGTTCAGAGGGCCCGAAGGGACATAGCTCAAATGGATCCAAGCATTGCAGGGAACTGACACAATGCGCCATGCCTCTGGCAGAAAAGGAAGAAAGTACAGATGCGTGGGAAAGATGAATGAGTGCCAAGAACACTGTGTGGGGCACACTTATCCGGCTCTCTTTCTGTCTCCTAAGAAACCTATATGAAGTTTGAGAATAAGCAGAGCAATCCAGGGTGATACAAACACCAGTGTGTTTTCTTGTGTGGTGGGTGTTAATTGTAAAGGGGCGCAGGTGTTCTGGATTTAACTGTGATGCTGTTTACCTGCTTGGTCAGACTTCTGCAGCGGTGCCTTTAATATCTGTGCACTTTATTACATTTAAATTATTTTAAAAAGGAATTAAGATGTGTTATATACATGTACTAACTCCCCACACAGAATAGAAACATGTACTGCAGACATATACTAATAAATAAGAGTGACAAATTCCCAAAAGAAGAATATTAGAAGAAATGTACTTAAGAAGTTTCTGATTTCCAGACTAATGACTGAGTTGAGCTCTTCTAATTTTGTGGTTTGGTTTCCATTATTTTGGCTCCCCTTGCCTACAAAAATGCTATGTCGCAATATTTATCAAATGAAAGGAGCTATTTTTGTTGCAGAAGCATGCATTGTCTGAGAACCTACTTTATAAATAAAGAATGAAATCCTAATGACAATTTACAGATATTTAGAACAAAGTCATAATGAAAATGATACACTGTTATATCTCTATATGAGATATAGAAAAAATGGTGTTTTAGTGGAAATGTATAGCCTTTAATGTTGTAAAGCAAATAATAAATGTTTATAAGTGTTTCAAAATGAAGGAGCTAAATGATCAGCATAAAGTTTGGAAGAGATTAGTAAAATAAGCACGGAGAATGTAGAAGGTTCAAAAGCATAAGAGCAAACAGTATTGAACTGTAACACAAAATACTGTACAAAGGACCAAGAGTACTCAGAGTTTGTTTGTTTTGATTGAGATAAGCCATGTTCTATAACTGTTTGTCCTGAGAGGGAAAGATAAGAGGAAGGGAATGCAAAAATGGCTGATGGCCTGCATGTGAAGCAGAAAGTAACTGCAGGAATAGCGCAGCTGTGGAGAGGCAGTAAGAGCCTCTGGGGAGGGGCATCACGTCTTGGTGTGGTTGCGTCCGTGGCAGATGGCCTGGCACTGGCCAAGAAGGCCAAGTGAGAGTGCTGGCGGTGTCAGTGTTTGCTGAGGACCTGGTCTCTCCCTCCAGGTAGGCAGAGTGGATGCTCTGAACTCCACAGGCTGCATGCATGGCCTCAGCCGAGGAGGGGTGGGGAGGTGCAGGTGCAAGGGGCCCAGTAGTTCCCCGCAGCCCATCAGGAGCAGCAGGGTCCTCATGGCTCACGTCCCCCAGATGCCCTTGCCCCTTCATTCTGCTGCACTGAGGATTAAAGTCTGACGGGAGTTTCGGAGGGGCACAAGCGTTCAAACCAAAGCGATAGCCAACGGTGTTACGCCAACAAATCTGAAGTTCAACAAAAATGGAAAATACTAGACAATCATAACTTAGGGAAGTGACTCAAGACCGAAAAGGAAGCCCAGAGAGTCCTTCAGGACTCATGACTTTCATTTTCCAAGCGAAGGGGTTTGGGGACCCAAGGACTAATCCCACCACACCAGGAACCTAGCAACCTGTAAAATGTCTGATGGTAAATTTATCACACAGAGTGTGGGGCAGTAAGACCCCTGTGTGGAGTAGGAGTGTAAATCAATCATTTTGAAAAGATACAGGCCACCCATGCTCTGTGATGACTTCTCCTCCTCCCGTGTCTTGGCCCATTCCATTCTGTGCGTTTATCCTGCATGTACACACCAAGAATATTTCTATACACAATACATACTAATATTAAACAATGATAATCATACTGATACTTCAAAGCTAGATAAATGGCTGCAAATAGCTTGAATGTCCACAAAGACGAAGGCGCATAAATTGTGATATATCTGAGCAGTGCAATTCTGTGTAGACAAGAAAATGAGTAAACCTTAGTTAAATGCAACTTAAGGACGCTCAGAATCATGCCAATGAGAAGGCAGAGAGGAACATGTATGCTGCAGTGTTATTTCTGTCAGTGTCGCGAGCAGATTAAGCACTGTGCAGTTAGGTATACTTCCATACATGTTGGCTAAGCATAGAAAGATAATAATGAATCCAAATTCCTGATAGCATCAGCTCTGAGGAGTTGGGAGGGGCTGGCTTTGGGGATAAATGCACAAAGATACCCTTAATTCGGCTACACTGAAGTTAGTTATTGCTCTTTCATACATAAATGGTGTGAGTGTATATACTTTGTATGTACATGTTATATTTTAAGTATATTAACTCTTATGAAAGGGTTAATAAGGACTTCTTCACTGTAACATACAATTGCATTTTTGTAATTATAGAACATTATAATGTATAATTATAATCTAATTATAGAACATTGTAATGTCCCGAACGTTGTCATGGATAGTACCAACAAGTTACACTTTGTTTAGTTGCTGAATTAAAAACAAGACGTGTGTCATATAATTCCTCACACAGAATAACCCACGAGCAGCTGGAAGGTGTGAAGTACCTGCTTCTGATCCTCAGGAGGCACGCTTGCTCCTCATGCCAAGCTTTGTTCGGAAGCAACCCTCGCTGAGACATTCTCAGGACTGGCCGGGACGGGGCGCTGTAGAAGCGCTTCGCGGTGCTGACTCTGGCGCCCGGTCGGTCAGCGCCTGGCTGCCCACTGCTCGCGGAGCCCCTGGGGTCCGGCGTGTGCTTCCTCTGTCCAATGTGTTTGTGTTGCAGACGAACCTGGTGAAACTCCTTTTGGTCCATCAAGCAAACCCAAAGCTCCTGAACCAGAATGAAGAGAAGCCGTCAGGTGGGTGAGGGGCGTGCAGGGCCCATGAGTGGGCGCTGGCTTCTTCCCTTGGGTGGATGGGATTGTCCCTCGTTAGCTGAGAGGCGCGGGTTTCCGTGGAGCTGGGTAAAGGCGCGATTGCATCCACGGACCCTGGCTGCAGAGGGTTGGCAGGGCGCAGTCAGCGCTGCGGGCCACCGTGCTGTGGCCTCTTGTTCCGCTTTTCCTGCTTTAGCTTCCCGACTGCTGGTTATTAAATGCACTCACTTAAAAACACACTTTTCTGTTACCTGACTGGTTTCTCATCGTCGCAGATATGTGCTTGTTCCTTAGGGTATTTTTCAACAATAACAGTGTTCTGCTTTCTGCACAGGTATTTAGATTATAGGAAATAGAGCCCGACATTCTCATGGTAGGTAGTGCTTTGAAACCTGGACTAGAGGTTACTTGTTCTCTAAGAAATATTTTTGAAAATTTCTATAATTATCACTACCTTTTCACGTTTTGATACACTACTTAATGAATAGATGCCACATTGGTTTTGTAGCTTTAAAATTTAATTTTAAAATTTCTCATAGTTAACTCCATAATATTAAAAGCAGAAGAATTTTAAATAAAGAGAAGAGTCTAGCATAAGTAACACAGGAATGTAAAGAAGTTTAAAGGTAGCTATTGATCTGAAGAACTGAATAAATTGATGTATTGCGTCCCTGGGCCTCTACCAACTGAAAGGGCTTATTCTTAGGAGTTCTCATTCGATTAGTGCTAGGAGTAAAATTATTTCATAAATCTCTAGTTTAAGCCAAGATGAAGGAATTTGCTCTGTTTTTTGTTGTATGAGTATTAAATATGATTAATGCTTGTTTAACTTCTCTGCTAAAATGAAGTGAATAACAAAAAACTGTGATGGCTAACTCCTGTCAGACTTTAGATTCGGGCTAATACTCATGATGTCTGATCATGGTGACGTTGGCTGCTTGACACTGACTAGGCCTCATAGGAAATATTAGAAAGGCGAAAGAATGTTGCAGCTTTTTAAAGATCTTGTATAAAATGTACTCATTGGCGGGCGTCCTCTGCTAACTCTAGTTCCGTCCGGGCCACAGTGTCAGCTTCCTGTCCTGGATTCTTGCTGGACAGGGGAAGAGATGAGGGACCCTCATGCACAGGGCCTCCCACCCTCCTGCTTTCCTCTTCTGAGCCACTAGCAAGGGTCCCACAGCCAGTACCAGTGGCGGCTGACCCTCTTGGGGACCCAGGGAGGGAACAGACTTCTGTTGTCTCTCAGCCCTGGTCACCTTAGCCCGGGGAGGAGGCCTCGCTCACACGACTTTCTCCACCTGGTCCTGCAGAGCTGACCACCAGTCCAGTACCTTCTTACACCATCCAGACACACAGTACTGGGACCATTGTGGACCCTCAGGGCATATTTGTTAATTAAATAAAGATATCTCTCTCACACACAAGGAGCAGGGAACTGTGATGCGGTGAGAGATTTCAAGTAAATACTGAAAATCCAAGCATCTAACCAGTGAGCAAGGAGAATGGATAAGGACACAGGGTAGTGCAGAAACTAGTGGACTGGGCAGCAGTGTGACATCTGAGCAAGTGCAGACCATCATCCCTGCTGTATTCTGCTCTCATCCTTTTCTGGCTCTTGAATTTTAGTGTCTTGGGGAAAAAGTGGTCCGAGATGTAACTTTTAGGTGGGCTAGAAACTTAGTCTCCCAACAGGAGGAAGCGGGGCTCTCTCCCCTCTTCACACGTGTGGTATCTAACCGAAGGCAAATAAAGACCAGACCCTGCTTAAATACCGTCTTACTGCAGCTGAATTACTTGGATCGGCCCATAAGGCCCTGCCACTCACTGTGGATGGAGATGGTCATGGGAGTGAGTGGCCGCCTGGTCAGGGGCTTGTCAGTCCTGGGGATCATTCCCCAGATTTTACAGTTTCCGTGTTAGATTTGGATGGTGCATATCTATATTGCTGCCCAAATATATTCAGACATCATTGTTTAGTTGTCATTTGAAAGGAAATAGATTAATTGATGTTTCTAATGGGATAAATAAGGCCACAGAAAGAGTCCAATGCCCTGTTCTGTTTGCACGTGCATCCGTGTGGTGGAGTGTGTACAGAGTGTGTCCTGGGCTGCATCACATCTCCGCCCTGGGAACATAGCTACAAGGGGAGACCAACACATACGGTGAATGCTTACATTTTAAAAAATGTATTGCAGTAAAACACACGCTGCCATGAATCCCCTTCAGAACCCTCCCCTGCACTTTGAACACACTCCTCCCCTCATTCCTGTCCCTTTCTGAAGCAGCTCTGGAGTCCTCTTTCCTGAGTGTTTTACCAGCTGTGATCACAAATACGGTGAATGTTACTGCCATGCACCACTTAACAGAAAGGCAGGTTCATAAAAACATGAAAGGATTCTCCTCGTCCACCTTATTCCCCAGATCTGGCACCGTGTGACTCCTGGCTCTCCCCAGAGTCAAAATGAGCATGAAAGGGAAGCATTCTGAATCCACTTAGGTCATCGAGGAAGCCAGGACAGCGCAACTAACACACTCAGGAAAGAGGGCTTCAGGGCTTCTGCAGGATGTGGCAAGAGCAATGGGTTAAGTGTCTTTGATGCCAGGGGGGATAACTTGAGGGAAATGAATGGGAATGTCTCTTTTACTGTTATAAAATTTTTTGATTTAACCATTCACCTTATTTTATGATCACAGCTTGTATTGTCATCATTTTGATTCACAGTCAGCCAGGCACAGGAAAAGTGTTAATGGGAATGAAATGATGTTAGATTCTTTGAAGCTAATCTTCACCGTGATTTTCCATGTTGCACATCACCATCCGGTGGATATCAGCATACTTTTTTCATTGTCATTAAATGTGTCACTGATGTAAGACCAAACAGCCGTCTTAAGTGGCAATATTGCAGTTTTAGCTGCACCATGACCTTTCAATGTGCTGTGATTCGCTTCATGTGCTGATAAGCTTTGTCATCTCAAGCATACCCGGAGTGCTGAAAGTGAAGTGTTCAGGCTGTCACCCTGCGTGGCCTGACTTTCTTGTTTCCCGCAGATGTCGCTGCCTCGGAGTTTATTGAGGAGATGTTGCTGAAGGCCGAGGTGGCGTGGGAAGAGAAGATGAGGGAGCCGCTGTCTGCCCCCTCCTTAGCCCAAGAGGAGCCCTGTGAAGAGATCCTGCAGGAGCCGCCAGCGCTTCCCAGCAGGCTGTGAGTCTTCCCTCCTTGTCCTTGTCACGGAAGTGGGCCCTGCCCGGGGCCCAGAGAGTCACACTCCCACCCGCACTCTCTCTCTGACTGTGGTGGTTTCACGCCCAGGACAAGTCCCTCTCTCCATGCAAAGAGGTGGAAAACTTGACAGTGCTTTTCAGCGCGTTCCCCACAAGTGGTTGTTGATGGTGATGAACTTAGCATAACTTGGGAAAATCTTCTGGCTTTTTAAAGCCCTGCTGCCTTAGTTATCTGTTCACTTCAGATGGTGCAACACTGCCTTTAAACCTATTGTGACGCTTCAAGAGAATGTTAATGGCTGGCTTTTCTAAAGCAAGGAGTTCAAATATATGTTTTTTCTTTTATATAAAACTAATAATTTCTTGTGGTCTAAAATATCTCCTATGGAAGGATATTTCCTCTGGCTTAAAGATGTCAGATGCTGGGATGGAAATTGTCATTTTGCTCAAGGTCTGAAACAGTGGCACAAACTATGACTCATGCGGCGGCGATAACTCACTCCTAATTCATGTCAAGTTCATTGGGACCGTGTTCATTAAACCCAAAGGACTGAACAGGGGCTTCTCTGGGCCAGGGTAGGTGTGTATGTGTGGTGTGGGTGTGTGCGCACTTGTAGGCTGCACATAACTGTGTGTCACACACACTCACACACTCACTCACTCAAGGGAATGATCAAAGCACGCAGCTCCTTCAGCACAGACCTAAACTGGCCCTGGCCAGGCCCCGCGAGGGGTGGGGTGACTCCCAGGGCTGAGAGCTGCTGTGGGGTGAGGGAGAAGGCCTGGACGAAGACTCTTGTGGTGGTTACACCAGTTTTGAATATGTTAAAATCCACTAACCTGTAGATTTGAAGGTGTAAGTTTTATATCTCAGTCGAGGAAATCAGTAGGTGAAAAACGTGTTGCAGGTCAAAGGTCAGGCTGCGACCTTCTTTTCCACCCATGGGGCCATGAGGAGCTGCCTAGGAGAGGAGCTCACCCAGGGGGGAAAACCAGAGAGAGGGAGAGCAGAGAGGGCCACAGGTGTACACTCAGGTGCTCCCACTGAGGAGCTCTCGTCTGGCCGGCCGGGGCAGAGGTGGCCCAGGGCGCATGACTCAATTTCCCTCCCAAGAAGTAGAAGAGAAGCATTTGATGGAAACGTCACAAGGCTGTGGGGAGGAGCAAATGAACTCAGGAAAAAGAGTCTTATTTCAGAGCTTGGCACAGCACGAGGATTTTGAAGCACTTTTAATTTCAAACTGCTCTAGGTGAGTCGCAGTCTAAAAGGGTGCAGAAGTATGAGGTGTGATCAGAAAACACAGCAAATGTGTAAATTTTCTGGAAACTTACTGCATTAAAAGACACATTGTCATGAATCCCCCCACAAACGCATATGCTTAGAACACACCCCATGGTTCTCGCCACTTCCTGCAGCAGCTCTGGAGTCCTCTTTCCTCAGTGTCTGCAGTTGCACTGTCTTGGCTGCTTTGATGTCCTCAATCGATTGAAGATATTTCCCTTTGGTGATCACTTTGACTTTGAGGAGGAGCCAGAAGTCACAAGGTGCCAGGTCCGGTGGAGAGGTGGATGAGGACACACTGTTGTTTTTCTTGTTTTTTTTTTTTGGTACCGGGGATCGAACTCGGGTCCTTGTGCTTGCGAGGCAGGCAGCAGAACCACTGAGCTAAATCCCCGGCTCATGTTGTGTTTTTATTTGACAGAAATTGAACACTGGGGCAGCTACAGCAGCACAACTAAATACCTCCAGAAAGAGGACTCCAGGGCTGCTGCAGAAAGTGATAAAAATGATGGGATAAGTGTGCTCAAGACAGGGGAGGATTTTGCGAGGCTTCATAGCAGTGGGTCTTTTACTGTAGTAAATTTTTTCATCTAAATATTCACTGAATTTTAAATGAAACATCATCTATGGACCTCAGTTAATATGAAAATATATTTATTCTTGAATTTAGTTGTGTGACAAAGGCACTTGCTTTTTATATCAGGCTCTGTGCAGAGAATTTTCAGAGTCTGTCTCACACCGTCCTCACAGCCTTCCTAGCCCTAAGGTTGTCGCATTTCCCTAAGCTCCGGGTGGGAAGTGATGGGTCGGTTTGGACTGCACCAGTCTATCACAGCTCCGAGACCAGGACACGCATTTGCCTTCTCCTGTGTTCACAGGTGGGGAAAAGGGTGTTACGTTTCTGTGAAAAAGAAAAAAATAAATATAACACTTGGTGTCAAGTCAGGAAGGGGCTTTTTGATAAAATATGTTGCAAGTTGAAATTAATGATCATAATATTTGATTCAGCCATTTACATGATTATATTGGCATTTTACTGAAGAAGGGAAAGTGATCCACATATTTTGTATGGAAGAACTTTACTTGCCAAATGTAGATGTGAAAATCAATACCAAATACATCCACTCTGCTTGTAGTTACAGGCCTCCAAATAAAGAGAAATTAAAATGTAAACAGAATTAAAATTTAGTTCAAACCAAGTTATGTTGGATAAATATTAGCCTTTATGTGTGTCTGTAATTCTATTGTTGGTTCCTAATTTATTTAAAAATAGAACAAGCACAACGAATCTTCCCATGCTTTTCACTCTGTTTTTTGTTATATTATTGACTGAACAATGGATTAATCAGGTATAAACAGATTAATCAATGACTTATTTGTTTTCCACAATTAAGTACATGGTTTAATCACATTGTTTTCTTTGGCCTCTCTGATCAAAGCTTGGACAATTTGAACTGCATTATGCACTGAAGAGTGGCCTGCTTTTCTTTGTAGTTAACTGTTACCTTTCTTCAGAGGTAGAATTAACAGTCAAACTAAAAACAACTCAAGAATAATTGAAAGTTTCATTTAACTCTGATAGACTGGCAAGCAGACCTGGTTCGTCTAAGGATTATATCTAAGCAGTTTTGAAGCTTTTGTAATTCTTGAATGATACATTTTATCTTATTTTCACTGCCAGTTAAGTAAATAAGCAAATAAAACCAGGAAAAACATATGTGGCAAAAATAACTAGGAAAAGTATATGGGTTAGTGCAAAAAGTTAAATTGCTATGATGTGCTTGGTCAGACCTTGTATTTGTCTGAGAAGCAGACAGAATGCTTGAGCATATGAATGACAAAACTTTTCTGAAGCTGGAAAATGTGTGTACTGTGGACGAAAAGATGTTGCCTGTTGATCCGATTGTTTAGTATTACAATGCTGTTTGATTGGGACAATTTTCTTAAACACGCTGAGAAATTTTCTATATAAAATAAATCAGCAAATGAACAATTACAGGAAATATAAAGTTATCTCTTTGAAAAACTTCTCATGCATCATCCAAAGAGCAGCACCTGTTCCAGCACCAGCGCTTGAGAATGGTGTGCAGGGAGGGAGGTCTCTATGCTCTTTAGCATCGCCTCAGCTCCCTGAAAACACTTCCTTTCCATCTGTTGTCTGCGTTGAAGTGAACAAAAGCTACCGTGTGACAATTCAAGAGTCACTGGTTTGAACCAGGTGCATTCTTGACTGCTTTGATAACCCAAATTTTAAATAAGTAACTAGTCCACCAGCTGCTTGTAGAAATCCCTCAGGTTTAGGAAGGTGCAGGAGAAACATTAAGGCAATCAAAGGAGAAGCCAGAGAGCAAGCAAAGATTGAAATAGCAGTGTCTTCATGTATTCTAATCAGGTGCAAGCACTCTGCTGCAGCTAATTGCTCCTTACATTTTAGGATTTTGCCCATAACAAAAATGGTGCATAATCATCGATATGAGAAGCATAAAATCAGAAAGATTCTTGAAAAGCATCCCACGGGACCTCCTGCAAGGAAGGAGTATTTCACTTATAGTTGCTGGGTCCTTAGAAATAGAAATTTATAGGCACCTGAATGGTTCTATTATTTTTTGAGAAAACTGAAATTCTTGCTGTTTAGTGTATGGGCCCTGAGCCGGTACCATTTTCCTGCCTGGAGGACTCTCAAAGCCCCACTGAGCACGCGTAGAGTGTGCGATGCTGCATTTGTCAGCTTTCCTGTTATGGAGACAAAATATTCCCCAAAGCCACAGCTTAGAAAAGGAGAAGCTCATTTGGCTCCGCCTCAGGGGCTCAGTCCATGGTCACCTGGCTCCGAGGTAAAAGAGTGTGGGGGAACAAAGATGCTCAGTTCGTGGTGGCCGGGAAGCTGCGCAGGGGACAGTGCTGGGGAAGAAGGGGAGACCAGATATAGAACCCAAGGCCACAGCACTGTACCCAAGGCACACCCGAAACTGGCCTTCCTGATCTACTAGGTATTTTAAGACAGCTGACCTACCCAATTACCAGTCATAATCCATCCCTTGGCAACCTGCCCCCAAATACACCTCCGTAAACCATACTTCATCTCCAACTAAAGCGATGTTAATAATTCTTCCTGATGTGGTACAACTACTCCTTATGCAACCAAAATACAGTAACCCTTCCCCAAAGTTTCAGCGGTCCCAGCAGGTCCAGCCCAAAATCTCCTTTTAGTCTCAAGGCAAACTTTTAGCTGTGAATGGCTGTAAAAAGATTTTTTGAAAGTAACATAATCTTAAAGTACAATGGCACAAGGTAAATTTTCCCATTCCAAAAAGCAGGAATAGAGGGATAAAAAAGAATATAACCAAAGCAAGATGACCCCTGCAAAGTGAACATTAAGTCCTGTAGGTCCTTATCCAGCATCTGGGCATGTGTTGGTGCTATGCGAGCTCAGTGTGCGTGGCAGCCTCACCCCTTTGCTTTGCTGGTTGCACCCCACATGACCTCTCTCTTGGGTTTAGCCGCTCATTGTTTGCAGCATTCCTCAGCAGACTGTCCATATTTCTGGCATCTCCAGCTTCCTGGAGTCTCCATTGCACCTTTGGCTTCATTCCCACAGTTCCGAGTACTCCACAGTTCCTGACTCCTGACCTCCAGGGTCTTCTTTTGAAATTCCAGGTCAAAGCTGCCTGTCCCCACACAGCTTTTATTCTTAATGC